CACACTGCCGGCCCATGTTCATCTTGGCATCAATGATGACTCCAAGATCCTTTTCTGCCTCTGCACTGATGAGAAGGGAGTTCCCCAGCCTGTAGGTATGGTGCTGGTTCTTCTTCCCCAGGTGCAGCACCTTGCACTTATCTGGAAGAGGAGGACAAAAGGATACTGCTAAAGTAGCTGGAGTGTTTGGTTCTGAGCTCTCGGAGGGAGAAAAATTTGCAGGACTTGCTAGTCTTTGCTTTTGCATCACTCTTATTTTAAGTGCCGTTGCTATAGCATAAGCATGGTAAGTGTTCTTAATTCAGCACAGGGTCTAAAAAGAGGGCCAGAGGCGTGACAGCCTGATTAGCCCTCTCGCTAAGGTATTGCACCACCACCCTTTTATAAATGGTTTATTGAAGCTGCTCTTAGCATCATGGCTCCCTGATCCCCATTTCTTTGTGGGTACCGCTTACCCCGGTACCCACACACAGGCTAGAAATAAAGGAAGGGAAGAGATGTAGACTGAGTATCTGTTCTTAGCTGTGTCTGCTATGGTCAACTTACTGGGTTAAGGCAGGGGGGAGCAGAAATGTGGGGAAGATGGCTGAGAGAGAAGGGCGTCTCAATGAAGAAGTGAAGGGGCCTCAGTGCTCTGTGCCAGAGCCTGAAAACTTGGTTGTCCACCTGCTTCATTGGGACCGCGTGGCATGCTGTGTGGGGGGCACTGGAGGGGCCTCGGGAGGTCCCTTCCAGCCTTGCTTTCCTATGATCCCGTAGTGTGTCCAGGCCCTGAGGGCAGCTCTGGATGGGTGCAGAGGAGAGAATTCACATTTCTTTTCAGTGCACTGTGCTGGGGTAATGGTGTGACAGCCTCTTAGTTTACAGCGCGATGGGGTGTGTACAAAGGTGTGCTTGTGCCATTTTGGGTGATTTTTCTTTCTGCCGGCATGTCGGGATTTTTTTTTTTTTACAGTTTTACAAATTGGGCATGTCAGTCGTGTCCACTTCTAGTTTTTGCTGGAGAACTAATTGGCGCACATAGGCTAACTCTCATGCTTAAAATAGCATTTCCAAATGGAAGTTGTTAGCAATATAAGAAAATTAGGCTTATTATAAAAGTCTGTTCTCCAAGCAGCTAGCATAGTATTCTTTCTTTCATTCTCGTGCTCTCTCTTTCGCTCGCTCGCTCGCTCGCTCACTCTCTCGTATTACTAATTTTCTATCACCATAGAGCCTTCTGCACTTGACAAGATATAATTTCTAATGGACACAAATCCAGTAAAATTTGAAGAAAAACCTTTTGGGCATTATTAATATAAAGAATAAAAACCATAAATTGATTTCATCCTCTGCCGGTTGTCTGTAACAATAGTCGAGGTTTTTCAAAAGTATAGAAGCTTCAGTTCTGTGGAACATTGTTTGAAATGGCAAAAATTGCAGGAAAAGCCCTGAAATTATGGGATCTTTGTTCCCCTCCCTCTTCTCTAATTGTCTCTCATTCTGTGACTTTTCCACTGGCCCTGCTCTTCGGCTGCTGTGAACTATCAAACGCTAATATAGACGATGAAGGTATAAAAAATGGGATTTGACAAAGGCAGCCATGTTAATTTTGTTCCATTTGAAATGCAGGGAAAATATCATCTGCCAAATGGAAAAGGACAAAATCACTGGGGAAAGAAATGTTCTTTTCAAGCTTCTAAGAGCAGTGACAATGCAGGGAAATCACACTATAAAAAGTAGACAGTTCCTATTTCAAAATTTAGTTTCCAGTGTTTTATGCATGATTCATTGTGCACAAATGCTTTTTTGGAGTCCTAAGTGATCAAACGCAACATGGCAGGTCTTATTCGGTCTCTGCTGTATTGCACTTGGGGTTGTGTTTTGTTTCTTTCTTTCTTTCTTTTTTTTTGGTTGAGCTACATGGCTGTTCTACTCGATCTTCAGTATAATTTTTGAATACATTCATACTTCCCTTATTTGCCTTTTTTAATGTCAAGCGTTGCACATAAGATGTTCTGCCGTTGCTATGCAACTGCTAAATCCAATATTTAATATTAATAAAAACTGAGTGGCATTAACATCAGTGAGAACAGTGGGCTAGCAAACTATGATTGTACAATATCCAAGCTGTAAAACTTGGCAGGGATTTCGGTGTGCTGTTGCATGCATGACAAGCTGTGGGGTATGCGTCATTGGCAGTTACTATTTTAAGAGTGGCGAGTTTGGAGGCGAGTCTCTAAGCTCCCTTGATCCTAACAACAAAAAAAGTGAAAGGGGCTGAGGTTGGTTGGCCGGGTGAGTCCGGTGGTCAGGCCAGGCACGGATGGTGATGGATCGTCATCCATGAATAATGGTGGAGGGGTCAGAACGATAAACATGAGGGTCAAAACCCTGACTCTTCTATTTTTCTTCCCCCAGGTCAGGTGGGTGTGCCCTTCCCCATTGTTCCTGCCACTTCCTGAAGCCTGCACTGGCTTTCTTTGGAGGCAGTACTGCTTGCCTGCCTGACAAGGTGCAGTTTGATGAGATCTTTTATTTCTTCTTTCCCTCCCCCTCCTTGCCTCTGATCTTTCTCCTCGCTCTCACCTGAATTTGACTGCGCCACTCTTGCCATTTTCCACTTTTGTTCCCCACCTTAGCACATGTACTTGATATTAGCATTATATTTGATGCTAGATGTGCTGCCACAGATGGCATTGTAACCCGGCTGCGGTTTAGCCATCAAAGTAGCAGTAAATGGTAAAAGTGCTTCCAGGATCCTGCCTTGCACCTCAGCTGTTGTCAATGTTTCTAGTGTTGCGCTGGAGCTGTTGCCAGCATGTGATGGGCAGAGCGGGGCCGCTCGAGGTCTCCGTTTGCACTTTCCCCGGGTGGTGTCAAGGGAAGTCGTGACATCGGCTGAGACGTGTATACCCTTGGGGAGCGGGCGGGCGGCCTTATCGTTGCTTTCTGCCAGGGGATGCCATCAGCCTGAATCTGACCCCGAAATGCATTCAGGTGGTTCTTGAATCCTCCAGCCAAGTTCGGTAGCTGCGCAGTCACGTTTCACCATCTCGTGGAAGTGATCATTGTATCTTACTGCTGTTTTTGAAAGGTCCACACGCACAAACTGGCCAGCTAACTACGCTCAAGGTGCTTTATAATGCACCAGGTGAACCTGCTGGAACAAAGAAAAATATTCTTTCTTAATTTTTTCCCATTTACAGTCATTTTGGGTGTTGCTTACAGCACAAATGTTTCCAGGCACGATGGGGATTGAATTGCCAGCGTTGTTTTAGTATAGTCCACGCACTCGCAGTGTTCACTTCCTTCTAGTACTATGTACTTGGTGCTGCTAAGAGTTGCATTCATGACTTTCTGTTCTCGTATGGTGGCAGCAATGTAGGGAGACGGTCTTCTTGTGCAGAGGCTAAAATTGGCCTGAAATCCCTGTTCTGCTCGTAAAAAAAATAAGGCATAGAGCATTGCAGCCAAGTAAATCGGGCTCCCTGAAAACACAGAGCCGTGACGCCGACTGGAACATGAATTTCTCTCTCGAATGGGATAGGATTGCTGCAAACCCCATCCTTTTTGAATCGTCTTTGTCCCCAAGAAATCGGGAGACAGAATCAGTTTGTGGAGAAGCTGCCAGAGGGCTTGGCACCGTGGAAAATACATATTTTTGACACTGAACTTGGAGGCTTTAGTGAGAGCAGGTTTGGTTTTTCTTTTTTTTTTCTTTTTCTTTTTCTTTTTTTTTTTTTTAAGAAAAGTGCCTGGAATTGCGCAGCGCATTGTGGAAGCTAAAACTTGCCTTTTTCTTATTATAATGATTTCTGTTAGTGCCCCCCACTGCTCTTTATTGAGCCCAGTTCACTGTGAAAGTGCAGGGGTTGAAGCGGACCCAAGATGCTGTTGTGATGTGCCGCAGTTCAGTCCTCAATTCACTGTACATCTTGGGAGTACTAGGAGAAAACACGTTCAGATCTGTTCTGGGAACAGATAAATATAGACCTGCTATTGTAAATATTCTGGCAGTGACGTTCTTAATCTAGAAAGCTAACAATTCTTTTCTTTGCTTTTAGGGTTTGAAAGTATTCTAGAAGGGCTGTTTGGACCTGGATTATTAAAAGATCTCAGTTTGTTTAAAGGTATTCAATCTCTATTTTTGTGTCTTGTTCTGCATTTCTAATGACAGAAGCAACCCCAGCTCTGCCTCTAGAAAATGTGTGTTACCGTGGAGATTTATGCTTTTTTTTCCCCTCCCCCAGGCAGTGCTCACAGTTAGTTTCATATTGGCTAAAATTACTAATGAGTGTGCGTTCATCTTTATGTAGCTGGCAGTGGATTTGGTGTTGCTTGGGGAAAAAAAACAACAAAAAACCCCAGTTTCGTTGTGTGTAGACCAAATGTGGGTAGTTTAGTAATCTGGGATTTAGAAATATGGCCGAAATCACACCTGCATCTGCAGAATCTAGGCAAGAATGTTGTGAAACAGGTATTTAATGTGGTGTTTCTCTCTGGCACCAGTTATGTCGTGTTTTATGAATATTAAGTAATTTGCTATTCCTCTGATTTACAGACTGTGAGCCCGAAGGTGTTTCTGATTGGTCTTTTGATGAAAATTGTCTTTTCTGCTGCCTGAGAAGAGAAAAAGTGAAGGTAATAATGCAGCTGTGTCAAGCTAGTAGTTGTGGAGTGTGTTTTTTGCTTCTCCTAGTGATCTAGGTGTATAGTTAGAGGAAGATTTGCAACTCCCCCTCCACACCCTCCCTGCCCAGTTACACTGGGGGAGCCCTCATGCATGTTTCTGCCCACTGCGTGTTGTCTTCTCTGTAACTTCCGTGCGTGTGCAGTGTGCAGTGCTGTGGGGTTTTGATGTTCATGTGTGCGAGCCCTTCTTGGTCGGTTGGAGAGGACGTATAGGGAAGAAGGGCGTGGGTTGCCTGGCCCTTTGGAGGGGAGGTTGAATGGTGGCATGAGTGAGTGACTGCCTTCACCTGCAAGATAGCAACGCAGACCAGGGTGACTGCAGGCCACGGCAGACCATCTTGTTGTGCGTCTTGGCACCGATTGTCTTTGTGAGCCACGTCTCTGTAATGAGAGATTTGTCTGCACAGCAGATTTTTTTTTTACTGTTTCTGACCAGGTCCCGGCCTACACGTGGACTAACCGTCCGTGTCCACGCAGGGTGCTGGCAAGCCTTTTGTAAGCATGTTGTAGCCATGCTTGCAATGTGGCTCAGCCTGCAGTTGCTGCTCAAGCCATGTGTACACACACGGTTACTCTGTTGTGTAGGCAGGAAAGCTCATCTGTCAGTGAAACCTAGTTAGCTGGTCCTCCCTGCTCCCACTCCTTCCTGTGCGAAGCGACCGTGTACTGTAATATACCGTGTGGGCTGGCAACAGGTTCACCCCAGCACTTCTTGAGTGTTTGTAAAACCCTTTCCTCTGCAACAGCTATTGCTTAGGACAGTGTGGCTTGTGCTAAAAGGAAATGCTGCGCTGGTTTTTGCTGTTGGCTCCTGTCTGCCAGTAGCCTGGGTGCTCACTACATATTGAGCTCCCATTTATTTTTGTAAAAGCTTTTTACTGAGGCTCTCGGAGGAAAAAAGCATTGATTCTGAATGGATTTCAGAGAAAGGCACTTTGTTTTCCGGTCAGAGACCCCGGCCAGCACAATGAGCTCTGAGACTCGTTTGTGTGTTTAGAGTAATGCTGTACAACTGTGGGCACTGGTGTCATCTCCTGAAAAAAAAACTTCATGGAAAAAAATCCTCCTTGCTGCAGTTCCATTGAAGCCAGTGGATTTTACAGCAGGAAAGCTGCTTGTCCCTGTGGTCGGGAGCTGGTGAGAGGCTAGGAGAGTCCACTGAGCTTTGGGGTGTTGAAGCCGCTGAGCTGAGCATATTTGCACATTGGAGAAAGGCTGGTGAAATTTGGGTTGGCTGTAAGCAAACAGTGCTGCAGAAGTGAAGGTTGAAAAGGTCTCGGATTGCTAGGCGAAGGTTAAATTCAAGCCTGCAATATGGTGTTCAGACTGGGGACAATCCTCTGCTTCCTTTCAGGCTGTAAACAGCCATTTGTTGAAAGCTTGGATTTCCCTGCTGTGCTGTGAACACACCATGCTGGGTTTTGGTTTTGGGGGTTTTTTCCCCCTGGTATCCACACCTTCCCAGCTGCGCAGAGTGCTTGGTGGCTGTGTAAAGCAGCGTGACGGAGCTCTTCAAGTGCTGAAGTTAACGTGCCTCAAAGGTTAGCTCTCTGTGGGGCATTGCTGTACCCATTATGCTGCAGGGTGTATTTAAGCAGGTGAGGGAAGCATGTAAACAAGGCCGCGCCTGGGCTCAGGGGGTGCTCTGGTCCGGTTGGTCAAAGCGGGTTTTTAGAGACAGGAACAGGGTCATGGTGCAAACAAAAGGGGTTTGAGCGCTGCAGGGACTCAAGGCTGCAAAGCGTGGGCAGGCGGAGAGTGAAGTTGAGTCTGGCTGGCGCGGCAGAGAGAGAGTTAACGGGGCTGAGTGGAGTGTCACTCGAGTGCTTTTTTTCCTCTCCTTCCCATGGAGTCTGCAGCGTTTCCAACCACGGCTGGCGTTCTTAGCGCGTGCTCCTTGCAAGGCGTTCTGCGGTGCAGTTACCGCTACGTAGTGGATTTGTTCAAGTAAAATCTCCCTGGAGATGAAATGGGCACGGTTTCCCCCAGGGCAGTGCATATACCTGCAGCTAATGGCCATCGGCTGAATTGCAGATCGCAAGAACTGCCTTTTAAATTCCCTCCTTGCAGCAAAGTTGTGGAACTGCATCTTCACCTGCTCCTTTTTAGGGCGCTCCAGGCTGTCATCTCTGTGACTGCTGTCACTCTTCCGTGCCCTCTTAGGGAAGCGGGATTTCGGCTGGCCCCAGTGCTGTGTGATCCCAACCCCTTCCCCTTCCCCCAGCAGGTCTGTTTGCTCGGTTTAGCCGCATCCACTGGAAGGGAGCTTGGGACACTTGGTGCTAGTCCCAGAAGACTAGAGCGGTGTCATTGACATTGCAGCCTGGAGCACAATGGCTGCAGCCAGTCCTTCAGCCCTTTATGGGTCTGGTCTCTACCCCTCTCCTTTCTCAATCCACCTTTGATGAATTGTCATTGCCACCAGTTTGGTCTGGGCAGCAGGTGGGGAAGCAAACTGGTGCCCTTATCTCCCACCAGCAGTGGAACAAAAGTAAAAACTAGCGCGTCTGTCTTTGTTGGCCCATAGCAGTCACTTAGCATCACTTAGCTTGATTGGGAGAGTCAAGGTCCAGGTGGTCCTGATCAGAGCTCTGTCAAGGCAGCACCTGCCCCACTCTCTGCTCTGGGAGGTGCAGTCGGCCTCTTGCTTTCACAGGCAATCAGATTCAATCGCATGCATTTTTAAAAGGAAAGAAAACCGTCTGCTTCCTAATTGAAGTATCCTACCAAGATTAATTTATTGGTAGCCATCCCTTTGAGTTGGAGGGTGGAGCACACTAAGCTAATGTGCCAATTATGTGATATTCAGAGGGGAATACCGTTCAAGTGCAGCCTAGCTTCGATGCGTTGGAGAAAGGGGCTAAGATGGTGAAATGTAAAAATGGGTAGTTATGAAATACTCAGCTAGAAAGGAGCAGGCTGCTGGGAAAGGTCTTGTAAACTTCGAGGGTGCTCACAACTTGCCAGACTCCATAGGGATGCATCCAGTTTCTCTAGAGCATGTTAAAATGAAGTTATCACAGGGCATCCCTTGCATCAGGCACTACAACATATGATAGAGGCACCAGCTTCAGTGATCAGGAGAGCGGTGTTATAAAGAACTACTGCCCTGGCCATATGCATGCACCTCACACATGCACATGGGAGAATATGTGCCTTCGCACCCCAGCCTTCTCATCCTCGTTGGAGTAAATGTGCAGTGTTATCATGTATAATCCATCTTGGCTAATTCTTACTTGACAATCTGAAGACTTTCTCAAAACCTAGTGTTCTGCCCCCACCACCTTCATCGCCCGGTTCTGGCAGAATGAGAGCGAGATTATTTCACAAGTCTTTTACTTCGAAGAATGTGCGCAGTGCAGTTTGCATTCAGACTTGCCGAATAGCTTATTCTGTATCGATCACTTGTTTGCAAAAAATCAAAGTACCCTTGTCGAGGGCGGTATCCTTAATAACTGGGATCGTGTTGGCTTACCTATGACTTAAAGATGTTTGATGATAAATTGTTGCAACACGACAGCACTGCTTGAGACTTTATTAAGAACATTTATTTAATGTAAAATTAGATCATCTTGCTTTGCTACTTTGGTTTTAATTGGAGTCTGACGCCAATTTGGGGCTGGATGCTTTTGAAGAAGATTGGAGTGAACTGAAGAGAGAGCACCCGAGCTGTGGGGAAGGGAAGCTTTGGAGAACAGGTCCTTGAAGAAAGCTCGAGCACTGAGCTTATGCGTTCTACAGCTACAATGCAAGGAAATATATATATAAAAAGAGAGAGGAATTAATTATTCTCATTAGTGGGTGAGAGCAGAACAAGAAATGTAGGAAGCTAAAGTATACTTTAAATAACTGGTGGAATATATACTATAAACGTAGCGTGAAGGAGAAGAAGGTGCTAAGGGAAATTATCCCTTTGGTGGTGATAGGTGTAAAGGCCAGTCCTTGCCAGCTCCAGTAAAATGACCTTGATGCATGAAGGTGAACGAAATGGCAGTTCACTAGCAAGCCACACCAGCCTGGCAGATGCTTCCTAAAGCACTTATCTTATTCCAAATTGCCTGCCCGTGAATGGCGGTCCCATCCCCTTCGCTTCAGGAATGATTTGGTCATCAGACTTTGTGGCTTTGAATGAACCTTGAGTCCTTGGTGGATGAGCACACCTGAAGGCTGGTACTCCTAAAGCACTGCTGCTGTTGATCACATCAAAGCATTCACTCCCAGAAGAATTTAAATTGGCAAATGAAACATCTGCAAATGGGTCCGAATGCTGTTTTGATACAATAGATCTCTGATAGTTGTGGTGGATTTGTAGTGCATTTTAGACAGTTTACTGCAATATACAGTGCCCTGTGTGCTTTGGGGTTATTTCTGAATTTTAATTTTAAAAGTATCTCTGGCCCCTGAACTGTCAATTCTTATTGCTTGATTGTGAAACAATCTGACATGGACAGATGAAAATCTGACAGAGTTGCTTGTGGTAGAACTGCCAGCTCAGGTCAGGAGAAATCCTAATAGTCCTGCATTGGGAAATAAGAGCCAACCTGGGTCAGAGCAATGGTCCGTCTAGCTCGGTGTCCTGTCCCCAGAGGGAGAGCGCTGAATGGGATAGCTCTTGAGTGATCAATCCCCTCCCTGCCATCCACCTCGTGTTGTTTGAGAGATGCCAGAGGAAACCTCTCCAACTGTTCTGTTCAACAGCCATTAAATAGATTGAGCCTCCACGAATTAATCCAGTCCCTTGCTGAACTTGGCTCTGCTCTCTGCCTCCACCACCTCCTGTGGTGATGAATTCTACGAGTTAATGACACGTTGCATAAAGAAGTACTTTTTCTTTTTAGTTTGAAACCTGGTACCTACTTGTTTCAGTGGGTGCCCCCTTGTTCTGGTGTTCTGGGACTTGGTGAACAGCAGTTCTGTCTGCACTTGGTCCAGAAGAGGATTTTGCAGACCTCTGTCATATCCTCTCGCATTGTCTACATTAACACAAATTAATATGAACATCCCACACTTTTTGTTTAATTTTTAGTTTTGAATGCGCTTAGTGCAAGATATTGAGTGTTCTTGGCCCAGTTAAGTCAGAGTGGTTTTGAATTTGGAATACCATTTAACGTCATTCTGATAGTAAAGCACTGGAACTGGCTCCCTAGGCAAGTTGTTTGATCTTCTTCATTGGAGACCAGATTAGACAAAACAGCTGTCAGGGAAGGTCTAATTATTCTTGATCCTGCCACTGTTTAGAAAGATGGTCTAAATCTGGGGTTGGCAATCTCCAGTCCACAAAGGGATTGTATATGGCCCACAGAGTTGGGATGGTGGTAACATTTGGCAGCATTTGGTGGCACACTGTAGCCGCAATAGTCCAGGAACGACATGGAAAAGAAGGTTTAGTTGACCCGATAAAAGGTATTACCAAACTTCTACTTGAGACATGTTAGACCTGACCGCTCCAGCCTGAACTGAAGGACATTTTGTGGGCTAAAGCTTGTCTAACATCTCTCCCAAATGTGTAGTTGATCCAACAAAAGATATCACCAAACAAACAGTGCTTTTCCCATTAATATTTTGGAATATTGAAGAGGTGGGACCAAAATGGACTTTGTATGTGCTGTGTTGTATGCTGTCACAAAGCAGATCTAACAGTGTAATTTTTTTTTCATACTGTTCCTGTTTCAAAACTTGTACTAACTTCCATTGCCAGGTAGTGACATCTTGTGATTTTAACTTTTGCTGGCAGAATTTAGGACTTGGGAAGTTGAAAGGGTGGGATAAAAATATTACTGAATATGGCTACTAGGAAGAAGCTGGTGGAAAAGCAAGTGAACTGATCAACAGTGCTAAATTTAAAATAAAAAAGTACATTTTGCTCTGAAACAGTCACACCAAACCTATCCAGAGTTTATTAGGTCAGCTCTTAAAGAGGCTGGAATAATGGTGGTTCTGTTAATTAAGAAGTAGGGAAATGAATAATTGAGCTGAGAAGGAATTTGTCTGACTTGATTTTTGTGGTCCTGAAAATGCAAGGGAATTCTGTAGAATGTTTGGTGGTGCATGAGGTTCAAGTTGGTGCTTGTGTACACTATGTTTTCCAATCCTAAACTTACACATGGATCCAGCCTGGAAAAATATTTTTCCTGAAACAAAGATCAAGGGGCCCTTTAATCGGAGGTTCATGGAAGGTCCCGTGATCTCAGCATCTTCTGCACCATTGTCTCTGTAGAAAGCCTTTGTAGTCCCCTAGTAACTTGATGCTATCTAGAACTGGCTAGAAAAAGTTATTGTGGTTGTATTTAATGCCACGCCCATATTTGAATGATGTAAATTATAGTTGTTTTATGTCAGTGCGCACTGCCACTGAACTGTATTTCTGAAGAGAGACCTGCTAGGCTCCATCACTGTTCTCATTTAATGGTATTTGATGTTCCTTAATTGCCTGGAGGAACGTAATCAGGAAAACTGAACTGTTCTGTTTTGGTGCACTTTCACTTTCCTGTAAATCAGATAATGGGCAAAATATGGGATCACACTGACAGGGATGAAGTCCTCTTCAGTTGTGAGTAGCTGGCTGGGACCGCGGGTGAGTTGGAAATATGCCTTCCCCACCAGTCCTTGGGTTTGAGCCAGAGGATGCTAGGTAACTTGAGCAGGAGCTGCGTGGGTGAACCTCTGTGCTTCTTGCTGAAGAGTTTCCTCTTAAAGTGAAATGAAAAATCACCTGGTCTCCTCTGGAGCTAGGGACAGAAGTTACATATAAACAGGTATAAGTGATTGGAAATGGGTTCACATCTGTAATGCAACAGAAGTTCAGTGCACATAGACCACTATCCAAATGGCCGAAACCAGTTTAAGATAAACCTGGATGGATGTAGTATCAGACTGAACTGATTTAGGTTAAATTGGTTTATTGCACTTCTGTCCCAGATCCCTTCCAGATTTAAGTTAACTCACAGTCCACCAGGGTTCACCAGATGCTTTGCATCCCCCCACTCATGGGGCGGGCAGGCTAGCTGACCTAGGCTGTCTGCTCCAGCCCAGCAGGGAGGTGTGCTATAGTGGCCCCTGGTTTCTGGCGTGGACCACTGCAAACATGTTGCTGCATTTCCGGGGTCAAAAGTGAATGTCTGTTCACTTGCTTATCAGTTCAATCTCCGTAGCTTAGACTAACCTGTGAAGATTGAATTGATTCAGCCTCGGGCATCTTGACTGTCTGTACTTGGCCTACGTGTTTGCTGCGTAGGTACTGCAGTGAGAGGCACTGTAGAAATGCTAAGATGAGATTCATTTCTGGTTTAATAGCATTTTTTGTGCAAACATTTTTCCATTTTTTTTCTTCTTGGTTTTAAACACAAAAAGGTGATTGTTAGGCTGGCTTTGCTTTATTGTAACCCCCCGTGATTCTCAACCAGGGTGCTGTGGCACCCTGGGGTGCCACGAGATCCTTTTAAGGGTGTCGAGGGCTGCCACACGCTACCACTTAGCCCTGTTAAGTGCACAAACACCTACATATGATTCATTGGATAAAACCAGGGATTTCATATCTATAGTGTGAAAAGCATTCTGCCCTGCTGTCTTTCTGAGTTCTTAGGAACAGAAGAATTGCTCTCTTGTTTTTTTTATAGTCAAAAAACGAGTGAAAGCAAAGAGGAGCCGGCCTTTCCGAGGAGTGCCCGGAGTCTGAAAGGCTTGAGAGCCACTCTCTTAAACTCACTCTTGCTTGAAAGACTGTTGATCCTTCATAACCTGGGCTAACATTTTTCTCTACATGTTTTTTTTTTCTCACCCTTCCTCAATCCTGCATTACGCTTTGTAATGTGCAGAGATAAAGCTTGCAAAAAGATAGTGCACATCTGTCGGTCTTTGTTTAAGAAGGTCTCACTGAAAAATAATTTTCATGTGGAGCGATATGTGGCATGCTTATTTTTGTTCATGGTGAAATTCTGGTCAACGTTTTCAGTTAAATGGGTGTGAAATCGTTTTATTCTCACGCATGTGTATGTAGTGCCAATAGTGTGCCAGGGGCTTTGCTGATATGGCTCTGTCGCAGTGTGATTACAGTTCGGACACACTTTTTAGTGGGTGTGATCTAAAAGCGATTTATCTGCAAGTGAGCTCTTGTGGAGGCTGACTGGTCTGGGTTATCTTCAGCTTGGATGAAACGCTCCCTGTGTAGCTCTGCTTCCTTCGGAGATCCTTGTCAATGCAGTAGCGTACCTTTGTGGGAAACACCTAAGCCTACCTGCTCTTCTCCCCCTTCCCATTCCTTAAACCTTTGGCACACCCAGTTTCTCTGGTTTGTAGGTTTTGTCAGTCTGGAAAGTCACCTTTAATAGGAGAAGGTGCTGTATGTGAATATAGAAACCTAAGGGCTCAACGCCTTCATGGCCAGAGTCCCCAATATTTCACGTGCCGTGAGACGTGACATGTGGTTTGCTCTGCCTGGCCATCCGTTCTCTGGGCTGGTTATTCAGGACGGCTCTGTTATGCCTCCCAGAGACCACATGCACCACAGATGTGCTGAAACCCACTCTTTCCACATCTCGGTGAACGAATGGGTTGCAGGTTATGTGTAGCTGGTGTCTTCTGGCAGCTGGGGCTGTGCAGATGTTGAGAGAACCCCCCAAATGGCTGGGAGGGGAGCAGGGGCAAGCTGATCTGTGCCTGTACAACAGGAATTGTAATCCATGCACACAAGAAGTAGATGTGTGGTCACAGGTGAGGTTATTTTCGTAATGGGAAAATAAAGTACAGGAACAATAAATTAGAAATGAGTTTTACCCTAGTGACGTTTTTTGTGCTGAAACATTCTAGAAGTCAAACAGCTGCTTTCAGTCGTGTTGTGCGAGGACTTGAAAGAGCTTGTGGCTCTTCTGTTTGTTCTGATTATTGGTAATATTGTGAATCTACAAGACTACTCCATTTAAAAGTTGCTATTGTGAGTCTTGACAGCCTGGCATTGCACATACATAGTCATTCAGCGCTCGCTTTGCATGGACACAGTGCAGTATGAGGGGGCGAGGTGCGATTCTTTTCTGTGTTCTGTCCTCAGCAGCTCTTTCATAGAAAATTAAAAGTGCTCGGTGAGGACCGTGTGTTCAAAAACCAGGTTCTTGGCCAGACACAAGGTGAAACATTCAGCTTTTTCTCCTTCCTACGCAGCTCACATTTTCTATAGTGCTGTTAAGCTTGAAAGAGGACTAAGAAGTCTCTTTGGTTTTGCATTTAATATTTTAGCCTTGGTGGCACACTGCATTTTGTGCTTTTATTTATTTGATACGGGTTTTGATGTAAACCTGAAGTATCAAGACAGTTCTACTGGCTGTTGTAAAACGTCCATTGTGTACATACTTTTTAATTTTATTTATTTTTTATTAAGTGCTGCTAGCTGCATGTGATTAATTTATGCGGGGTGAGGAAGGGGGAAAAAGATCTTACAAACATGTCATTAAATATTTTTGCAGGAACACTTAGTCAGTCTGGATGAGCCAGCTTCGGAAGCTGGGCAAGAAGCTCTGCTTAGACAAGAACAAGCAAAAATCATTCGGTTCGAGAGGCAAGCGGAAGAGTTCCTCAATGCAGTCTTTTACAGAAAAGGTTGGTTTCGATGACCAGGCAGTGTCTCTACTCTGCCCTTTGCATGCAGCACGGGTGTTGCAAAGATGAACTCTTGAGCTTTAGGCATATGTACAGTCTTTTCAAATGTTTGTAGCCCTCTGACTTTGAAAGGGTCAGTGGTTGGATCTTGAAAGATTCAGTCATTTGCCCCAGAACAGGTGTGTGTGTGAGGGGGGAGAGGGGGCACCACCTCTGCTCTCAGAGAAACACTTGGGTTTTTGCAGTGTTCAAGACATGCCCAGCGGAGACATCCCTCTGAGCCACTGCTGGTAGAGTGGGGCATTCAGACGCATAGGAGAGGAGTAGAAGAAATACTAGTTTGGGGGTCCATTCCCATGCAGACGGCTTCTCCTGAGGGCAGCGTTGTTAAACAGTGGTTCTCTGACTGCAGCTGCTGGTGACTTCCCGGTTCTTAGAGAACTGTGCGTTTTGGGTCTCGATATGATCAGTGGAATCGGAGCTGAAAAATCAGTGCAGTGAAACATCTGGAGGGCGACAGCAGCAGCCCAGCACCGGAGAACCGTGCATAGCTCTGCAGTTGGAGGCGTGCAAGGTTTGCCGTCTTCCTTAGACCTGACGCTCGCTCCAGTGCCCTCTGCCAACCGGGGAAACGGGATTCTGTAGGTTGCCTCCAAACATGCCTCACATAGAAGTGCATTGTACTTATCAGCATAACCCATATGGGAAGAAATCTGCTAAGTCTATCATTCCAGCCTGGCTGTGGCTGGGGGGGCAGTGTAAGGCGTTCACTTTACAAATTAGAAATTGCTGTAGCCAAGCCTTCTCCTGTCCTCCCAGTGACCAAAATACTTAAAGGTGTTTTACGTAGATAACAGTATTTTAGCACATCCTTTATGACTAAAGATGAATAAAGATGAATTATATACGATGATGTATTGCATAAGATACACAAGCATGTAGGGTGGTATGAGGGATAGTTATTGCCTTTCTATAGTTACAGTTGAGATAACATTTTCATCCCAACTCCCCACCTTTTCCTCCCCCTTTTCAGCAGTTTTCTGTTTCCTTTAAAGGTAAAAATTGCCTTTTGGGTTTAAATTTCTCATGTTCCTTCTCAATCCAGAATGGATTTGTGTAGGGGGGTGTAAGCGTGTGCAGAACATATGCTTTAACCCCTTCTTTATTAGCACAGTTGGAATTAATTCAGTTAACCATATAGCAATGAAAGCCGATTTCTTTTCATCATTTCCATTTTTGAAAGGTCCATTACTTTGGTAAGTAGCATTGAATGAAAGCTTCACACATGGCTTGTATGAAGGGCTGTATGAGGAATAAACCTCCTCCTAATTTTGGGAAAAGGCTTCGTGAACACAAATCAGGTATTAGCAAATGAAAAGTGTGCTGTGACTTTGCAAGGCACCTTTTTAAATAGATGCAAGACCCTGGAGTGTGGACATCCAAATAGACTGGTTAAGCAACGATCATTTAAACTAATTTCCTTTACATGGGGCTTAGTTTTCCACCGCAGCCAAGCTGTGCTTGGCTCATGGTTAGGGGTTAGGCCTGGAAACTCCCTAGAAGCTCTGTTGTGGTTCCCTGTGCTGCTCTGCCAAGCCTTTGCTGCAGCTGGATTAATTGAGCAGCTGGTTTAATTGATGCCACTGCCATAGGATCACAAGGGATCTCCACACCCCCAGAGAGTGGGAATGGCACAGCTGCGAGACTCTTGGCCAGGATGGTGCTAGACAGCTGATGCTGACTCGGCTCCATTTAAACCAGTCGGAGGAGTTTCCCTATGGAAACAGACTTTGCCCCCAGTAACCTGGAGCCTTGGCACAATGGAGGATCCAGCCCATCCTCTGACTGTGTCTGCGATGGCATGCATCTTCATTTCTGTGGTGGGAGTCTGCACAGCTCGAAACAAGTAATGGCATAGTTTCCATACAGGTGCAGTAAGTTAATCCCACATATTTCCCCCAGCTGTGTGTCTGTAGTAGCCAGACTAGAGTGCTTTATCAAATATTCATGAAAACTCCAATAAAAATAGAATATTTTTTGTCCCATGGTCCTCAGTTGTCAGTTCTTTTTATCCTGTGCCAGGACAGTCCCTCCTCCTATTGATTTAATGAAAACCAGACTAGTTTTTTCTTATTACTTTAAAACCTTTTCATTAAAAATAAAGCAGATGGAACGAGGGTATTAGGGTTTCGCAGCTCACATGATTTGCTTTAGACCATTTATATAGAGTTGATAAATATCTGTAAAATGTTTCATTTCTAATTATTAGGTAGTTGAAGCCAAATGAAATGCCTGGTTGGTTTTAAGAGACACTGCCAGGGTACGTTATTCCTAAACATTTAATACTCAATTGTTTGCAAAAATGCTCTGAATGGATCATAGCATTTACGTAGCATCTGCATTTTATTTGTTAGCTAGGTTTTTTTCAGGGCAGACATGAACAAATAGCTGAGTCTAATTCCCCATCACGAGTTAGTAAGATTATTTTGAGCCACTTCACCTATGAATCATAGAGAAGCAGGGCTGGGAGGGACCTCCAGAGGTCATCTAGTCCAACCCCTGCCCGAGGCAGGATCAGCTCTGTCTAAACCGTCCCCGACTAATCCATTGTCCAACCTACAGTCAGCCCTGACAACACATCAAACCTGCCACAGGGAAAGCAGGGGGACCGTGGTGGGCAATGTCCTGCTGCTCCAAAGGTCGTTAAGAAATGCTTGAGAGATCCCAAGAGAAGGGCCCCCACTACAGAGGAAAGAAGCCCCCCAAGTCTGTACCAGTTTGACCATGGGGTAAAATCCCTTCCTGACCCCAAATGCAGCATCAGTCTGAGCCTGAGCGTGGGGGCAAGACCCTCCGGCTAGGACCCTCTGGGGCTGAGTCCCAACAGGAGCATTGGTACAGCCCAGTCCCCAGCCTGGGCTGCAGCCAGTGCCCAATGCCCACAAGCATGGGAAATACCCATAGACGAAGATGGGCATAACTATGCCTAGGTCACCGCTGGCTACAGGCTGCCCAGCCTCTTCTCGAACCCCTCCAGTGGTGGAGAGTCCAAATCTTCCCTGGCGTCTCTCCCACGGGCTCCCTGCCCCGGCAGCAAGGAGGTGTTTCCTGGTCTCCAACCTAAACCTGCTTTGTTGCAGCTTTGAGCCCTTGGTCTGCGTCCTCCTCGCTGCAGCAGGAGTGAAGGGGTGCTCTCCTCCCTTTTCTTGACAGCAGCCCTGCGAGTATTGCAGACTATTCCCATGTCCCCTCTTAAGCACCGTTTCCAGAAGCTGAGCATGCCCAGCTCTGGCAGCCTCTCATAGGACGCCTTCCGAGTCCATTATCATTTTTTGTTGCCTGTCTCTGGACTCTCTCTAAATTCTCCACATCTTTCTTAAAACGCGACTGGAGAGTGAGGGGCTCCATAGCTCCAAGGGCAGCTTTAGCTTTTTTTTGACACATTTGACTTCTTTCCTGTTATCCATTGAGGAGATGGATCCCAACCACTGCCAGTGCCACAAGTCTGCTATGGGGGCTCCAAGAGCTTTGGTGGTCTTTGGCCCTTTCCTGCACGCCCTTCAGTGGGCTGTCTGGGAAGATTTGAGAAACAGGGAGGGGCTCTAACCCCAGCTGAGAAGAGCCTCTATGGCTGCTCTGTTACAGGCCTCACTGGGCCTTTTTTTATATAAAATAGACCTACACTTTCAGGAGATGCATGAGGGTTTGCTGTCTTTATTGGACCAACTTCCAGTTTGGGAATACAGAAGGCATTGCAAAACTTATTTCCTCCGCCACTAGGGCTGCAGCAATACTATAATGACACTAAAATTTTAGGTTCCCCTTAGCCTGTGGGTAAATTCTTGGTATGCCCTGCACTCAGCAGTAGCAAACTGCCACTTCAGCGGAGGGCAGGTGCAGTGTGTGGAAATGCATCAAACCTTTACGTCCTCCATGGAGGAGTTTATGCTGTTGTAGCTGTGTAAGATTACCAGCTGCAGCGGTGTAGTGCCTTTGACTTGCACAAATGAACCTCACAGGGAAGAAGGTGGTGGTAGCATCTCTTTGTTTGTTTAAGGTTAGGTTGGGGTTTACTTTAGACACCCCCTTAGAGAAGCAGAGGACACGGGGCTGCTTGTGACTTCACGTGCAAGCTCTCGCACAGCTCCGCAGATGTCTGTGGCACTTCAGAGGCACATACGAAGACCCTCTCTTGCTCCAGGAATCTATTGTAATTTAGTGTGCAAGGTGACACAAGGTAATGGGAGGAGCAAGTCTTTCAAACGGGCATGCCTTAAAATATGCTGTGCATCATATTATCCACCTGCCCTTTTGATCTAGGAGCCCCAACACACTGGAACCTAGGAAGATCACTAAAACAGGTTGCAGATATTAAGGGTGAAGCTCAGTCCTCCCAATGACTACTCGTTCCCTGGCCAGATTAAGTGTAGGGAGGGGTCTGAGCAGCCGTGGCAGGACTGCTTATCTTGTCTGAGAATGGAGTGTCAAATCTGCTGCCATTGCACAGCACGTAATTAATGTATGTTATAAGGAGACATTGTAAAATGGGTTTGTATTGCAGTGGTCCCCAGGCATCCCAGTCAGAAGTAGGGCCCTTTTGTTAAAAGGCGTGAGGCTGTAAGATAGGGTATGGCTTCACCCATGTACCATGGCAGCTATCTGGGGAGAGTTTTGCCGCAGGTAAGTTCTTCCATTGCTTTCAGGGAAATTTGCTGGGTTTGGGGAGTGATTTCTGCTCAAGATGGTTATGCACCTTGGGGGTCTGATCCCCCTTCTCAACCCTGCCAGGGGGCCAGTGCAATTGATGAACCTTGTTTAGGTACTACAACCTGGTGTCAGTCACGTAGGAAGTTGTCATTCCGAGGGATTCTGGTAAAAATAGTAACCCGTTTGTCATGCAGGTATCCTGAGAATAATGCTTGATTTATTTTGCACTCTTGTGAAAGTGGAATCCAGTGTTTTGATTTGAAAGCTGTTTTTTCTTTGTAAAGTTTTTTTTCTCCCCCCTAAAATCCAATCTCTGCTGTTTCCAGACAGTCCTAGGGTCTCTGACCCCAATATTCCCCTAGTGGCCCGTGAGATCATGCAGCGAATGATCCGGCAGTTTGCTGCTGAATATACCTCAAAAACTAGCTCTACTCAGGACTCCAGCCAGCCCAATAGCACAAAGAACCAAAGCCTGCTGAAAGCATCTCTGGTCGCCTCCTCTCCCACGGCTGCAACTGCTCAGAACCCCGTGCTCAGCAAACTTCTCATGGCTGACCAAGACTCGCCTCTGGACCTTACTGTCAGGAAGTCTCAGTCAGAACCTAGCGAACAAGGTAGGAGCATGACCACAGCATTGCGCACCTGGTTGCAATGCGATAGAAGCCAGGCTGTCGCCCGGGAGCAGAGAGCTAGATGTGGGAAGTGCGGAGGAAATGCAGAATGGCAAACGCGCGGCATATAAGGGAGCGACGGAGGAGGCGTAGCGAGGGAGGGAGGCGGAAGGAGCAGAAAAGCCTGTGTGTCCAGTTCAGGAAGAGGTGGGGGGCAAGGGGGTGCGCTCCCAACTAGCTGGGAGGTGAGCATGCTGGTAAGATGGTGAGCTCCCGTCTGCCCGCATACATGTGTATGGTGGTGCATGCACATGGTGCATTTGCGTGCTTGCTGTTATGGCAGGATCTGATCCTTGGGGAGATTTATTGGCAACGTTGCCCTGTCTTGCTCTGACAGAACAATGGTTCTGAGGCCTGTGTTTTGTCTCGGTGTTTTTTAAAACGCTAGTTATTTGATGGCAAATTGCTCGGCAAAGGCTGAGAGAGAAAGCTCTGGAATTACACAATGGTTTCCTTGTTTGTATATTTAGTAGAAATTTCTTTCTCTCGCGTTAAAAATTGCCACGCTCTGCAGAGCACGCAGTAAAGTGCTGCCGAGCTCGTGTCAAATGGAAAACCTTGCTTTCCATCAACTGCTTTTAAAGAAGCAGATTCAGGGAGTAGCATTGTGGCAGCTGAGCATGTTGTTTTTCTTCCCTGAAACTGTTTTGCACAGAGGGGATCATCAGCGTGGTTGAATTCTGAGGGGCTTTTAACAGGCTGATATACAGTTGAGAGTTAACCCTTTGCCCTTTGTGAGAATCTGTTATTAAAAGGCATCTGAAACAATCGCAGCAGAAATAGGAAAGGCTTCTGCACCCCCGAGTGGGAAATCATTGTCTTCCATGCATGCACCTACTAAAAAGGATTATGTTTTAAAGCTCGGTGCTATTTTTATGTTTAACTAATGATGTGTATTTCAAGCATCTTTTATTCTATTTAATACTTGGTGGTGGAGGTATGTTTATGGAGGTTCTGGTAAGGAAGTTAACAAGAATTTGCTGCATGGAAACAGCTCCGTGGACACATGCCAGTAATGTCCCCGGCTGCCTCCTTCAGAAGCTAAACTGGATGCCGCAGGCAGCTGCTGTAGTGAAAGTTGTGGTGTCAACACCCTGTCCGTACCTCCGGGAGGTTTGGGCTGGGAAGATGACGAGGTTAGATGTTGTCGTGCAGCCAAGAGGAGCGGATTGCTGGTTGGGACTTGATACGAGAATCTCATTCCCATGCATGGATTTTTTAAACCAAATTTTAAGGCAAATTATTGACCTCTTCAGATCATTACAAAGTATTTCCCCCCACAAAGAGGTTTTTAGAGGGTCTTTTTTGTTTTCTATCCTTTTTAATGATGAAAATGTTTGCTCAAAACCCATATGTGTATCAACAGCTTGTTCAGGACCTGGATTCATTGCTTTTGGCCTGTGCACTTGAACCGACAAGACATGGAAAACCTTTATCCATGCTCATAACACTCTTACCTAGTCTGTGCATGTGCTAATTCCATAAGAGAGGAAAAGATTTTTTGGGGTGATATCTCTTATTGGACTAAGAATATAGTTGGGATAAAGTTAGACAAGCTTTCAACTGCTAAGCTTTCTTCTTCAGGTCATCACTCTCTAACACTGCTAATTCCATAATTACTTATACAATAATGTGATTAGTCCATGTAATTACGCTTTACAGTTTACATTAATACTTGACAAATAATGAATGTGGCAGGCCCTCCTCCCCACGAACCCGGTCTTAATGACGTGTTTAACAGGCTCTCTCGGAGCTGTTGCAGTGGTGCCATTTCAGTGTGTATCTTTGTACATCTCCCCTGGGGACGAGGAAGAGGAGCACTTGACAGCATCCCTGCTTGCTCTCAAAGGCTCCCATGTCATGGTAATCCTCCTTGTAGAGGAAGGATGAATGTGGCTTCCTTCAACGTTAGTAGTCAGTGCTGCTTAGTGTCTTTTCCTGAGAAGCAAGCACTGCCCTGAAGAGTTACTTGTCTCTTCAGCCATGCCCAGGTGAGAACTAGAAGCCCCTGCTTACTTGTGTTTGGACTGTAATGCTTTTACAAGCGCAGGGGGTGGGACACCCTGCCCTGCAAGGCTGGTTTCAGCTTAATTTTTCTTGTTTTCCATATGCCATGTGAGAAGTTTGAGCAATGTGAGACCATCTCTGCGTTCTTCATGTATTGCTCATGGACCTAAGAGTTGATGCTTACTCGAGCTATAGGTAGTTGGGCAAGTAGCTCTGGTAAGTCTCTCATCACCTGGTCCGCAAGCCTCACTTTTCAGGCTGGCAATCCTTTCAGAGAGCCGAGCTGCTTTTGAAGAAGGCCACTTGTGTTAAAGATGGCTGTAATCCTGCTGTTTCCGGCAGGATGGAGGCCTGGCTTTCCTAAGCCAAGATGACGTGCCCCACTTGGGGTGGTCTGGAAACGAGCAGAAACTCCGAGGTGTAAGTAAGTGTGTATGTGAAGTGGAGCGATAGAAGGGGACTGATTGCAGGGACAGGGAAATGTGGAGAATTTGGTAAAAGAAATTGGAGAAAAGCTTCCTTAATGCTAGAGCAGCAAGGCAGAGGGACAATCTTCCCCGGGAAGCTGTGGCATCTCCTTCACTGGAGGGGTTGAAGAGGAGCCTGGGGGAGACGGGACAGAGTAGCACTGGTGCAGGCGTCCTTGAGGTTCTTTCCAGCCCTGCGACTGTGTGCTTCCAGGGACGTGGAGGATAAGGAGAGTGAAGTCCCTGGGACACTTCATGGGGGCCGGGGGGAGAGTGGTACAGGTGTTCTCCCAGCTGGCAGGCAGAGGCCTGTGTTCCTGGCTGACACCAGAGACTGAATTTCCACCCCAGATGACCCCATTCACACCCCTCCACGGGCTCAGAAATGAAGCAGGCCTCAAAGCAATGAATTCCATGCCCAGCCTCAAGATTTGTTTTTTTTTTCTAAATCTAGTACCTGATCCTATGGGTTAGTGTTGCTGTTGCCTAGGTCTCAGTCCTGAACGGTTAACCTCCCCTGGTGTCATCTTCCTGGGTTTCTGATCTGCAACGCCTTTGGGGTGTGAACGGAAAAGCAGCTGTACCAGTTAGTCCCCAAAGAAGGTGGTTTCACCTGCGAGGAATCGCAGCTGCTCCTGCTCCTTCCTGTGCTCAAGTGATCCTTTTCTCTCCACAGACGGTGTGCTTGATCTGTCCACCAAGAAGAGCCCTTGTGCCGGCAGCACCTCCCTGAGCCATTCCCCAGGCTGCTCCACTACTCCAGGGAACGGGTAAGGGAAAGCAGTGTTTGTGTTTTAATAATTCATTTGAGGGGATTTAGCACAAATGTGTACCTTTTGCCTCCCGGTAGCTCACACTGACTGATCTTTGTTTAACCCTTTGGAGTAATGAGCATTTTAATTT